TGGGGCATAAGTTTGTGAAGGGCCACGCTGGTCTTCTCGCTACGCTGTGCGATGCTTAGCACCGCTGGACCTGAGCGATGCGACCCAAAGCAAATGACATGAACAACGTATACAGCATAAGTCTGTGAGGGCCATGCTAGTCTTTTCTGCGCGTTCTTCCATGCCTTTCTCAAGCGCAATGACTTTGTTGAGGTGGCTGCGAAAACCATCTCGTATTTCAGCTGGCCCATAACTTCCCATAACTTCGGTTTTGGCTTCTAATCCGCAATCCTTCTAAGCCGCAATCTTTGCAATCATTGTCGATGAGTCTTCAACTGGCCAGAAAGACGCGTCGTCAACAACGACACATTCTTTCCATTGCGGATTCCTGCAAGTGTAAGCCGCCTGCCAACCATGACAACCCTACGCGCACAGTTCTCGCTCGTGTTCCGCACTAAATTTCAAACCTTGGACGCTGTCTTGATGATGCATCCTTGTGCACTGCTGCCGAAACACAGGCCGCAAAACAAATCCCCGCTACCCTGCACTGGCAACCCCTTTAACAGCTTTCATTGCGCCTACGCGAAACCCTAAACCCGAGCAGCCTCGGTCAACTCCGCGGGCATCAATTCTGCCTGCAAGGGACATCGCACGAATTACGGAGGGCTCGGGGTTCGGGCAAGGTTTTGAGAGCACGGCGCGAGACTCGTGTGACCTAGCGCCTTGAGCGCGCATGCGTTGGGAAGAAAACCCCGCCCAGAAACTCATTACCGAAATGCTCACCATCAGCGCAATCTAGCTTCTGCTCTCTCTCGTAAGCAGCCCTACTTGGTAGTACCCTATACACCACCGGTATATAATGCCCTTCAACGAGTTGCCACTCAGGCACATGCTTACGAAATTGAACCCTTGCTTTATTGTCAAGGCTCACGCGCAAACCTCAGTGCGCTTGTGGATCCTCGCCATTTCTCTCTCCCTGCTCCCTGCACACCCCTTACGCAGAACTTCCCCGCCTGCACACTGCTCTGCGCAACTGCTGCCTGCGCTGCGTCCTGCCATTGTTTGCTACGTTCTCCATGTTAACGCAGCACTGCTCAGCCTTGCTCCGGCCCACTGCACTGGTTTTCAATCTATGCGCCGCGTCTGCATGTTTGGCAGCACCATTAGGCCAGCCGCGTAACGTGACACTTGCCGTTCTTTGGCCGCATCTTGCCGCACCCATCGCACGGCGGATACGCGCACTCCTGGCAGTGCTGCTTGGGGGGCACATTTTTGCTTTTGCCCCGTCCGCAGAAGGAGCACGGTCGTCTGTCGCAGATTCTGCAACTGGTGGTCATTTTGTGAAAAGCTTCCCGTGGCAGCTCTTCTTTGCAAACGGAGCATTTTGTCAGGCGATCAGCTGCCAGGCTTGCGGGATTCATGCAGAGTGCACACTGAATCTCCGCCACGCGGCCCTCCCGCTTCGCCAGCCAATCTGCTGCTGCGAAGCACGCGCGGGTACCAGACACGCCGCAGCTGAAGCATGTTGCATGCTCCGGAGCTGTGCGAGCTGAGCAGCTATAGCCCGCGGCATACTGCGCTGCGCCCGTACGCGCTGCATAAGCACAGGATCAAAGGCGGTCACAACGTGCTGCACGTGCCGCTTTTTGGCTGCGCTGCAAGCTGTGCATTTGATGCGAATCTGCACGCACGCTTTGCAGCAGGAACCTCCGTCTTTGGCTGGCGTCTTCTTGCACCACGCCCAGACAACTTGCATCTGGTTCGTGCCCAAAATGTTCTGCCCGCGTGCCCAGCACGCATCGCACACGCGATCCATGCCTTGCAAGACTATGTCTTTGTCGTTGTGGCCTGGGGCTCGAAACTGCTTCAGCGGCCTCTGCGTCGGCGCATCCCCTGCACAGACACACGCACTGCACGTCAAACACATGGAATCCGGCCAGCTACGCAGTCGATATCTTGACTACGCAGATTTCGCGTCTCCCCACCGTATCTCCAGATCACGGGCCGACAATAATTCGTTACGCCAGAATTGCACCAGCAGTCTCGGCCCGGGCAAGTCTCCTTGGGAAAGAGTACAGGAGAGTACGCCTGCACCACGCCCATTTCTTCAATATGCGACACGCACGACGCAATCATGTACCCCAGCAGCTGACCTTCATACGACGGCCGCTGCCACAGCGACCCCACATCCATGGCCGCATGGCAAGGGTGCGCCCATGAAAGAGTGCGCGGCGCCTGCAGCGTGAAACCGCGCCGAACCATCGGCATCGCGCCTTTGCCGTCCAAACTCCAGTTCACATTGCGCGGCCGTAGCGGCACAACGCCTTGCTCCAACGAAGACCGTGCTTGCCATGTTGCTTCGGGAATGCGAACATACAGCATTTCTGGAAGATTTTCCAGGATCATTTCCGCTGAATCATTTTGAAAACTGGCCCCAAGGCCTCTCTTGGGGTACGGCTGAGAAATGACTAGCACTAATGAGGGGTCATTGGGCGCATGGGAAGCCAAAAATGGAGAAACGGAGCCCCAATGATGCTGATGATGCTGGCCCCCTTGGCCAGCATCATCAGCATCATTGGGATCCCGTTTCTCCTTTTGCCAGGCTTCTAGGCTGCCTGTGCCCACTGGGCCAGGCCTGATGGGGTTCCCGAACCCCCTTGCCCGTGCACCATCGGACCTCCATTTCTCCCAGGGCCCCTGCCGGACCCCATTCCAAAACCGCTTCAAAATTCGCATACGCTCCAACAGCGAATCCCCTCGGCACCGAGGATTTTTGAAGGATTTTGGGGTCCCAAGAAGTTTCAAAATCTGCATCATGGCGCATGAGAGGCCAAAAATGGAGAAACGGAGCCCCAATGATGCTGATGATGCTGGCCCCCTTGGCCAGCATCATCAGCATCATTGGGATCCCGTTTATCCTTTTGCCAGGCTTCTAGGCTGCCTGTGCCCACTGGGCCAGGCCTGATGGGGTTCCTGAATCTTGGATGTTGGAACCGAGTTCTATGGTAGGTTTGCCATGGGGATATTGATGGATGGGGTGATGAGTTGCAGGACTTATGGTGGTTTTATGCAGGCTTAATACTGTTATGCGGTTTGCGTGTGGGTTTTCGCAGCCACCCCCCCTGCCCACCCAGCCGTCATGTGAAAGCCAAGCCAATGCTGATACTCCTGATTGAGAGAAATGTACGACAAACTTATGTTATTGCTACCTGCGATGTTTTTTGGGTTTGGAAGGTCCTTTTCTCTCTAGTTTAACTGAAAATGGCCCAAAATGAGGTCCCAATTGTGCTGATGATGTTCCTGTACGAGGCGCGCGCTTCGTACAGAAGCATCATCAGCACAATTAGGAACCCATTTTAGCTTAATTGGGACCAGGAGGGTCAAAGGCCCAAGAAAAACCATCAAAGTATGAAGGCGGCAGGGCCGGCCCCTGCCGCCAGGCCTAAAACAAGAACAGTACTAGCAGCACAAGTGGAAATATACGTAGAAATAAAGTCTTCGTCGCTCTTCATGACTTTGAAAATTTACCGAAAAGTTGAAAAGTGCAATTTTTGCGAAAAGTAAAAACTTGTTGAGAAAATTGCCCGAAAAGTCGAACAGATATTTGTTGCAAAAAGTAAGGCTTGTTGCGAAAATTGCATGAAAAACGAAAAATACAATTTTTGTGAAAGTGCCCGAAAAGTTGAAAACTGCAATTTTGTGTGCAAAGACAAACTTTTTGCGAAGTGCCCGAAAAGTCGAAAAGTAAACTTGTGAAATTCGCCGAAAAGTCGAAAAGTTCAATCTTTTGCGAAGAATAGAACTTGTTGCGAAAAATGCCCTTTTTGTGAAAGTGCCCGAAAAGTTGAAAACTGCAAGTTTTTGCGCAAAGACAAACTTTTTGCGAAGTGCCCGAAAAGTCGAAGAGGAAACTTTTTGCAAGAGTTGGCCGAAAATTCGAAAAAATCAATCCTTCGCGAAAAGTAAGACTTGTTGCGAAAAGTGCCCGTAAAGTCGAAAAGTGCAACTTTTGGCGAAAAGTTAGACTTATGAATTTTTGCCCGAAAAATTGAAGAGTTACTTTTTTTATGCGAAAAGTGCAACTTGTTGCACAAAGTAAAAATTGTTGACTTTTTGAACGAAATTTCCGCATCCTCTGGCTGCGCGAAGCCATGGCCGGTGCCAGGGATTGACTCCAAACTGGTAAGGAGTTTTGATTTAAGCTTTACATTAGTCCATAGTAACCCCCAAGGGTTATCTTAATTCATCATCACGGTACCCTAGTCGCTATTTTGGGGTTCCATGTTAGCTTGGAGGTTACACGTCACCGCAAACAAGGTCACGTCAGCGTCAGGCTGCCTGCGAAACACACACGTGTTCGAAGCGCTAGAGAAACTACCCAGCGTGGACGACATCAAGGATTTGCATCTTCGTACGCTATTGATGCAAACCTAGAAATCCGGAAGCCGCGTCCGGCCTTCAGACACATTTCAAGAACGAGTTGTTTCGAAAACTGACAGCGACTAAGTCCACATCAGATGCGTTTTTTGCCCAGGGCCGCCAACACCGACGTGACCTTGCTCTTGCCACTGCCTGACCTTCTGAGCGCGCGGCGAAGCCTGGCTCCCAAAGCCTTTTCAACACCACTGCTTGCAGTTGAGGACATGAATTGGAGCGCGACTTGTCAGAAGCTTCAATGAAAGAGAGTCGCTGTCTTTAACGCTACGCCGACATTCCCTGCCTATGTCTGCCTTCACTTGAGAAGCTGGCACTGCGCTTCAAGTGCTCTCGTTGACTCACAAGCGCGCTGCGCAGCAAACTGCAGTCTGCAAGCTGCACCGAAGCTGCAATATACTGTACACCTCCGACTGCAGCAGGCATTTCGCTGCACATTACTGCGAAGCTGAAAAGCCAAGATGCTTCAGAAATGTGAATCGTGCAATTCTATGAGCGATTCGCGGAAAAACACGCTCTTAATTAGCTGTCATATGCCTTTGGCATGACTGTCCTACAGAACTACGGACGGTGCGATACGGTGCGGCCTAGACTTTCTGGTTGGCATCGTTGGCGTTGCCAACTGGAGAGAGCTCGACGATGTTCAGCGTGTCGCGCATGGCGTGGAGCGCAGGCTCGTTGAGCGTCTCCGTGGCCTGGACAAGGCATAAGGCAGACGAAGGCAGACGAAAGCGGATGCAAAAAATGGATCCAAAGTGGGGACGATTTCTAATTTCTTAGCAAGTCAGAAAGTCATGAGTTTGCATGAGTTTGCAGCGTTCTGCTCGTGCTTGCAGACCTGGCTCATGAAGAGTCCAAAGAGAACCATGGAGAGGCAAAGGAGCCGAGGAAGGATTCCATCCTGGATCAGCGTGTCCATCATCAAGGTTGCGAGTAGCTGTCCCAGCAATACCAAACTGAAAGTGAAGGCCTAGGAACTGCAGTCTGAGTTGAGATTCTACAAAATCTGCGCCTTGCTGCCATGCAGTGTCCGAGCGCTCTGAGGTGCAGACAGTGCCCAAAGTCGCTGTGAGCGGCCGGAGGCTTCGTACGTAGAACACACCTTGCATTGCCATGAATGCCCACTGATGCGCGTCCGCCAACCTTGGCATCCGGAAGGAGTCACCAGAGAGGAGGAACACCAGCACAAACGGCACGTGGGCTGCCGCAGCCACGAAAAGGCACATGAGCTCATATGAGCTTTCGGTCTTGTATGGCACCGCTCGGTCAGCCACTAGAAACCTGCCCTGTACAACGGCAGATGCGCCAGCAACCAGCAGAGCCACCAGGGGGCCGCAATACTTAGAGAGGTCCTCGTCCATGGATGGACCCCAGCCACCTGCAATCCCCAGCAGTCCAGCGCCAACAGCCAGGACCAAGAACTTCCAGCCCTGTGCACGCACCTTGCCAGAGTCAGCTGTGAGCACTGCGCTCAGCACAGCAACTAGCAACAAAATCAGCTGTGCAAAGCTCAAGCCCAACAAATCCACGGCAGCTATGACAAGGAAGGCGGGCAGCGCGAGTGCCCCAGTAATCGTTGCAAGCTCAGAAATCTCTTCATTCCGCAGATTCACACTTCTTGGCAGAAACGAGAATAGACAAAGGAAGGAGAGCAACGAGCTCAGGGCCGAGACCCAGCAGCTTGCTGCAAGCGTGGTTCCTCGAACCGACGCATGGAAGGTGCTGAGCTGCACTGCACAGACCAGTCTCAGGGTCACAGACCCACCAACGGTTACTGCCCATGCCAGGTCTTTCACGCGTGGGCGATAAAGGCCAGGCATTTTCGACCCTGATTTTCCGGAAAAGATAGTTCTCTGTCGCCTCGCCCAGCACGCATCCACGGCTGCCACAAAGGATGTGCCAAGCGCAAGGAACTCCAAGCCAAACATGGCGCTTAAGGTCTGCCACCTAGAATGCTTAGGTTTGGGCCGCGGTTTGCCTTCAAGGCCAAGCATGCATGAAAAGTTCTCTGCTGATGCCGTGGACCGCAGCTCTACTCTACCATCACAGGGTACATTTGCCGACTGCAACGCTGTGGCAAACCTGCCTTCGTTGCACAGCTCGCACTTGAGCACGATGCCAATTCGGCTCCTGAACAGTCACTGCCGTCCAAAATAGACCGGCACCCAGCTGGCCTGCACTGCAAGCGCTGCAAGTGTGTCTGCCAAGACTTATACTCTGAAACCGAGTGTGCGCTCACTTTTCCTTTCCTGTGGCTGTTGGCGATACGTTCACCCATTGTCAAGGTCTTAGACGAATGACGTTAGAAGTCAGAGCTATCGCTCTGGCAGGAAAGCAATTACTTTATGCAACAGTCCTGCGTCTCTCTGCATCTCTGTCTCCTGGGCTGCTGGGCTGCTGGGGCCGGCCTGCTCGCACAGAAGTACCATCAAGACTTAAAAAGGCTTGCTTCTGAAAGCGCTCACACATGTCAGCTAAAAAGACACTCAAAGAGATGCGAATCTGACCAGCCTCTATGCAAAAAATACAAATCAGCCCTGCCTGGCCGCAGCTCTTCAACTGAAGCAGCCTGTATTTGGCAAGCAGCACGCTTTCTCGCTTTGCACAGGGCCACTGGCTTGCAGGCTTTGCGTACATTTTTTGCTCACAGGTTGGTCAAGCGTTTTGCAAACTGATGGTGGACGATGGCAGTAGGGGAGGAGACCTATGTGACCTCCGGCATCTCCACACGGCACATGTGACTACAACAGCCAGCAGAAGGATGCCAGCACCAAAGAACACGATGATCCAATGTGCACTCTGACGGTTGTTGTGATCGATGGAGTCCTCGATGCAGCTCTTTCTTAGGAAGGCGTCTGCCTGTTGTCGGATGGTTGTCCGGGCAGTCATGACACTCTCCTGATCACCTGGCCGCGATGGCCAAGTCCACGCATGGTGCGATGCGCCCGGGACCATCAAGGTGGGCAGATCTTTGCTGGGTGCCTGAAGAATGCTCTGCGTCGACCAAGGATCAACCTGACCATTTGGAAACATCACACACCGGCCCAACTTGCCTTTATCATCCAGAGGCTCCAAGCCACCATAGTGGTAATTCGTGGCATCTATGTTGTTCTGAACATCCTCCAAACTGATGTTGAACTGCTTCACGCACCCGGCAGCATAGTAGCTGGCATTAGCCAGGCCGCGAACGAACATGCAGCCCCCACTTGCAGTACACGTCTGGTAGAAGCCGAACTCCTTGCATGTCTGATAGAACCAGAAGTCTGGCAGCCCAGGTCCCTGGGAATACACGCCTTGAGCTCCCAACCGCAGAGGTGACGTCTGGCCCAGAGCTCTTCCTACTAAAAGTTCTCCAGCCTGTGGAAATCCTGATATGTTTTGGAGCTGGCGGAGCTGCACAAGCCGCTGCACCTCATCACACATCATCACACCATCTGGCGCCGGTTACCACACCAACAGCATTGATTTCAAGTCTGAATCCCCCAAATTAGGTTTTCTTGATGCTGTGTTGGGTTTGCACCGCGCCTTTATTCAAACACTCATTTTCCCTGCCAACGCCTCATCACCCAAGGAGGCGTTGGTCATGACCGTGCAGACCTTGGCAATGTTGCATGCAGGCTCCGCGCACAGCGGATCGTTCTCTTGAGCAGGGAAGTCCGCTACACCATTCGCTCCAAAGGCGATGCGATTGTCCGGAGAGGATAAACTATCCTCAGGCAGGTTAAACCTGTCTGTGACCGCCTTGAAATCCCCCACCAAGAAGCGACCTTCCACCCAGGCATGCCCAGTTCTGATCGCATCTCTGCAGGCTAAGCTACCACCCACACCACTGTCCGAAACAGTGTAGGCATAGGTCACATGATCCAGGTACTGCGGCATGTCGTACGTGGCTGAAACGGGTGCTGAGGATGCGATAGCCGCATGGATCAGAGCGGGATGCTTTAGCCGGGACCAGGCTGCCAGCATTCCAGGATAGCTTCCGCCCCAGGTCATCCAACGGTTCTCGCTGGTCAATTTGTACTCGATACTCATGGCCTTTACGAAATGTACCACATCCTCCACTGCCTGCCGAGATGACAGGTAGCTGAGGGAGCCAACATCAAAGCTTTCCACGGGGCACGCAGATCGATTGTGACACCCGTAGTAGCGATGTTCCAAGGCAAACATCAGGGCCCCCTTCTCCTGGAGCCACTCCACAGCGAGATTGCCTTAGCGACGGTTCTTGCATGTTCACTTCTTCCACTTCTCTTTCATGATTCAATTTCTTGGGTGTTCCAGTAGCTTCTTACATACGCACCCAGTGATTTCAGAGCCGAGTTGCAATGCACCGAGTGGACAACGACTGAGCTGTCCAGTGCTGGGCCTTCCCCACCAACACAGAGGAAGATGGGTGACTGGCTGCCAGGCTTCCAAAACGTAGCGTTTACGTAGTAGGCCTGTGGCCAAGTCCGGTTGTTGCTCTGATCGAAGTGGTCCTGAAGCTGATTGTGATACCTGGCCAGGTTCAGGTTCTGTGCCAAGGTCACCTGTGCCATCAGTGCCAACTTGCCCAACAGCAGGATGGCCGAGCTCAGGCTTCTCATGACCAACAATCGCAATTTATCGCAGCAAATGTTCACACGCGTTGCATGGCGGACAGGCGAGCAAAAGAGAGGCAACTGGAGCCAAGCTTCCACAGATGTCACGTCCAAGAGTTTCAAGTTGCTCCTGTCCTCTGCAATCTCTGATGGCGTCCAAGAGATTCGGTCGTGATTTGATGTTTGTCCAGATGATGCATCGATGGGTCGAGCGATGTTTTGAAACAGAATGGAGCGTGACGGCAGCCTTCTGATGTCCATGCGGTCATCCCAGCTCTACGCCCTACAAAAGCGGGCAGAATTGTCTTGCCATCACACTCAAGTGGATAGCCCTTTACGAGCAAACTGTACGAGAAACAGCTCACGCAAGAATGCTTCGAGACCTTGAGATTTCGCTTCCAGAGTGCTTTGCACATGCGAAAGACCCTGGCAAGGGAGGCCTCATTGAGCCTGGCTGCCAAAAGGATTGGCCCGGAAAGAAACACTGGCCAAATTCAGCATGCGCATGTCACCATGGCAAAGTCTCTCATCCCGCGGGCATCTTGAGTCTTGGCTGCGCCTAAAATTCACCCTCCAGCGCTGGGCCTGTGCCGTATCAGAGGGTAGGGCTGCAGCCTTGCGATACCCCGAAGCCGACCCCACGAGCAGAAAAGCTCTAATCAGTCTCTATTGCAATTGGAAACCTTAGCGTCTGCTCGCGAGTGGAAGCTTTGCTTCGGCCTCTAACATCAAGGTAGGCAGGAATGTCATCTGGGGTGCAACTGAAGCTTTGAATTGCACCGCTTCAAAGACAGTATGCATGGCACATCACCCCAGATGGCATCATACTCGAGCAATTGAAACAGTGCCGTCAGACTTTCATCGCAATGGGTCGGATCTTCTGGCCAAATGATTGAAGGCTGCTTTCTGGCAAGATCGACCCTCTACCCAATGCAGGAAAGCCTGTGAGCTCAACTAGCTCGAAAATTCAACCTCTTCAGAAACGGAAAACTTCGTTCCGGTAGTTCCCAGCCCGAACGCAGGAAGTGGACATCCAAACTCAAGTCCCCTTAAAACTGTCATGACAAACAATCCGAACTGGTCGTTGTTTGCGTGGTCTCAACGTCCAGGTCTGAGAGAAACGCCCGGTTTTTGGACTTACAATTGGACTCACAAGCGAAGCTTGCCCCTTGCCATTTTTCATGGACAGATTTCGAGCATAGCAATATCAACAAAGAGCCCTCAGAACTCCACAGTCGGAGAAGCGCACGTAAATCAGGAACCTGTGACAGAAACCTCAGGTCGGCTCAAGCTCAAACTAGCCAGGACGCCGAGCATGTCCATGCTGAGTCCATGAGTTTAGAATCTTTCGCACCTTGTGCGCCTCCAAGCCTGAGCTCATGCTCCAATGGCCAAATCGTCCGGCTTCAAATACATCGGCAAGTCACTGGTTTTGGCCTGCTTGAGCGGCAGCTGACTCCAGAAAGTTGAAAAGGAAAAAAGAAGCGCGGTCCTTGTCAACCTGGGAAGACGTCTCGTGCATGCCCTTGAGGTTGCCAAGCTTATCCAGAGACCTTCGTAACAAGGTAAAAGCAACCTTGAAACCTCCCAAGCTGCAAAAATTTGGTCCATGCTTTGCCCGCTTTGCCGCTTTGCCGGATGCAGCCGGGTGGCTGGTTTCCTGGTCCAAAAATTCCGAGGCCAGGCTTGTCATCGTAGCCGCCTATGCCAAGGACCACGAAGCAAGCACATCAAACCAGCAACAATAGCATGTGCCAGTGCATAGACAGAGGAGCCTGGCAAGAAGGATGTCGGCATCTGCAGTACCGGCGGAGTGATCATGTTCCTCAAGCCGGAAGCGAAGTAAACAAGACACGAATGCATCTAATCTGACACGAAGGCAAGTACCCTATGAGGCTGGCACAGGTTGTCAGTTTTTGCCAGGTTCTCAGGGCGGAAGATTGGACGTTTCTCTGGGTCCTGTTTTCACTTTTGCACAGCCAAACCATCTCACTTGACATAGCAACAACTTCTATCTCAGCATCATCCTGCTCGTGAAGGACAGCAGAACTGCTGAAGTGATCCGAAAGTTCTTGATGACCTGGATTGGGAAAATGATCAGGAATCCGCACCCGCTAGGGAGCAGTATTAAATGAAGCAACATAGCCAACGCCCACATGCATGCTTCGGCCCCCTGAAATGACTTCTCAGCATAAAGAACATTTAAAATGCCCTACAACATCCATCCATGACCTGGCCTTGAAACCGCGCGTAACTCAGAGCGGGGGCTTTGGACTGATTCATGAAATCGCCCCAGGATCCGGTCCTAAGCAAACCCACACTCTCTGACTAGAGTCACTCCCGTGACATGCGCATGAGCTGCTTCTAACTGCTTCCAGCTTGGCATCTTCAACAGAACAAAGAGCTTCAAGACGTCCATGGGGGAAACAAAGTTGATGAACGCAAAGCCGGCTGGGATATTTCGGTGCTCTTTGCACGGCATGTAAAAGAAGGTGAACCTGTCTCCCAAAGCGTTCTTCTCCAGGAACTGGAGGAAGCTTTTCCGACTGCATCCGTTGGGAATGTTTCTGACCATGACAGTTGTGCGGGGATCCTTTCCCAGCTGAATCTTGTCTACGTCAATGTCGTACTTCTGAAACTCCTTGTTGGAAACTTTTGTGCGGAGCGGACGGTTGCCACGCTCTGCAACCTGTGAAGCCTTCTTATCGTCCTGAGGCGACCCGAGAGAAGTGTCATCCTCGGGGGAGGCTAGGCCCTGTGCTGCCTGGAGAAAGCCTGCAAGAGGCTCTGCGCCGATCATTTGCAACAAGTCCTCGGGGCCTGTCATGTCAGGGTTCTCCATCTTGCTGGCATCCAGCAGCGATGGCCTCATCCAGAGACATACCCGCTGGCCTACTTTGCTAATTTTGCGGCTCGTAGTCACACCTCTGGACACATCCGATGCCGTCATGCCTAGATAGTCCCTTCCTACGGCCTACCGCATTCTCAAAGGCTGAAGACAAGATGCTGCCAGACCCATGGAACTGCTGTGCCCTGTGAGGCAGCTAGCAGCATGTGACCAGAGCGGATGTCGTAAAACTCAACGATAGCTGCCTTAAACAAGCGAATAACTGCAAGGCATCTACCTACTAAAGCTACTCAGAAAAGTCTGTTCCAAGCATGTCCAAGGCACGTCCCCTTGAAGCGAGATGTCCGCTACTTCGCCAAACCTCAAGCGTTGACTGGCAGTTTCTACAGCATGGAAGAGCATGGAACAAATCTCAAGCCAGGAACTGGCTGAAGCCTCCGCCAGCTTCCCCAACTCTCTCCGCAAAGGCCAGCATGTTTACTCTGACCGTACGGCAGTCGTGTGCAGCGGGAGGGAAAGGCTTAACCTGTGCGATCCCTGAGAGCATCAAACGTTGGGCACAACGAACGTCGAAGAAGGTGACGAGGAGGCAACCTGCAACGGTCACAAGGCTGGTGTCGAGCCTGGCAATCTCCCCGAACTCTGACAATACGGACACCACCTGTTGATCGACCACTGGCCAATTCCACTTTGCATCAGTTATGGCCACTGTGTTGGAGAGTTCAGCTGTCGGGCTGCTTCGGCCAAGACCAAACGCACCACTCTTTGGCATGCCAAACATCCGGAGAAGCTGAAACGAGTTGGACACTGGATCCAAACAGGGAGAGCAATGAGCTTCGAAATGGCTTCAGCAGAGCTGAGGTTCAAAACGCACGAAACGCATTCTGCTCCTTTCTCACACAGAGAAACACGCAAGATGGGGCCTTAGTGCATGTCATGTGTATCCTTCGCCTAAATCAGGCGTGCTGTGCTCCAGCCTCTTGCATACGCAGAGCAGGCCATTGTTTTGTGTCGTTGTGTGCCCGGACAGTCCGAAGCGAGCTGTGGACTCCACACCGAATTCCTGCGACTCTCTCAACACTGCCCAGTGTTCCAGCCATCAGCGACGGCTGGACAGCAGCAAGAGCCATCAGGCAAATGTAGTGAAACCATTCATGTTGCTGTCCGTTCATATATCTGAACGACTGTACATGTGGAACCAGCACTGGTCCTTGCACGACAGCTTGCAGAATCCCTACATGTCTTCAATCCTGACTGCAATACGACCAATACGACTACTTGACTACTTCCTGATCTGGCACTGAGAACCACAATTTTGCGGCTCGCGCCAATGCAGGTTGTGATACAGTAAAGGGCATCCTCACGTCTCCGCCTTCTCCTTTGTCATGGATAACAGCCAAGTGTATAAGCTCTGCTTTGAAGTTGTGCTGGCGAAGCCAACATGCAACATGTTGATTGCAAATCAACTCATTTCCGACAAGGCTCTGGTTGCTGCGCATTGGGGATTCCCTCCTTGTCTAGCCAAATCCCGAAGATATTGTGTTCACGAACCGCCTCCTCATAACCATCATCCTCCTGCACGACCCGTCCTTAGTTCTACAAAAAGAACCGGTCACTTCGCACCCTCAAATCACCCTGACATCCCTCACCCAACCTGGAATGCTAGGTGGCAAGCGTGCTTGGAAAAGCGGCGCCGACCGGAACATGATCTGCTTGCCCACCTGTGTTTACCGCAGCAGACAGACCGCCAAGCACTGCAAAGCATGGCAAAAAGCCCTGACGCACCTTCTTATGCACCGGAGCCTGTGACCGATGCAGCGATGCCTGTCAAAGGAAACCAGCGTGGATCCTTTCTGCCCCCGGTAGAGCTGGGCTGCAAGATGTTGAAAACACACGGGCCTTCAGTCGATCTTCAATCTTCTTTTCTTGATGCAATTTGCGGCTCATTCGCAGGTCCAAGCGCCTCTGGCGCTCCTGCAAAGTGTGATGGAGTGGACACATGCTGGAAAGCCCTGTCAATGCAACTTGCCGCTTCAAAGATAGTGACCAACACAATGGAGCCGTCCTTTTTGTGCTCCTCTGCTAGCACCCGAGCTCCAAGGCCTGACTCCTCTGCCTGCACTTTTCACAGCTGTGCAAGTTCGCAGATTTTTGAATCAAGGCCTCATCCAAATAGGCAAGGTACTCCTCAAGCTTGGACTCAATTCGAGCCAGCATTTGCCTTGCTCCAACAGTAAGCAGCACATGCAAGGTAAAAGGAAGCACGCTGCAAATGTGTCATCTCATGCATGCGATACCAGCCACTGCAGAAGCTTCTTTACAGCTAGGGTGCAAAGTATCCCCATCATCCTGGTTTTCATGTGTGCAAATACCATGCACTTCCTGCACACCTTCTCCAAGCTTGTCCAGAAGATCCTGGGTGGGATATTCAGCATTGAAAGACAATCAACCATCCAAGTCTACATCATGAGGGCCTCGATTTCGGAACCGCCATGCTTCTGCGAAATTGCCCTCAACTGCCCATGGACAGGATAGGCAAGCTGTAGTTCCAACTGCATTCCCGAAGAAAACTGTAACGCCACTTCTCCACTTGATCCAATGCAGATGAGGAACTGTTTCAACTCGTCGCACTTACTTTTCTCATCCGTGATTTGACGTTCGAGCTGCCCGATTTGAAGCTTCATCTTGTTGCTCATAGCCTGACTCAAAAGTCGTGGTTGCAAGCGAAATGCATGAAACTCCCTGCTGCCTCTCGTGCTTTGCGCATTGCTGCAAATTTCTGCTCCAACTCTTCGAGCGCTTGCTCCGTATCCTGATCATGGAGCAACCCCCTGGCATCCAAATAGAAAGCAGTGACAGAAACCCAGCCTGTGAGTTTTGTATGAGGAAGAGGTTGGATTCTTCCAGTGAAGTAAAAATGTCGAGCAGCTGCTTAGGCTCTTGAAAATACAGAGGCATTTCCTTGGTTGAGCATTGACCCAGCGCTTTCATGGCCCAGCGCTTTCATGGAGACCAATGTGTTCAAGGCAAGCGTCTTCCCCACTGGAATACTCAACATACTCCGCGTCCACTTGGTCCCTTGTCGGGTATTTCCCTGAGGGACACTCGAAGGAATGATGTTTCGTCACTGTTGAAGGCTCTACCTTACTTGCCCATCAGGCGAGCTGCTGGCGATGCGGCGCCGGCGTGCTTCCATTTGGTCTCGTTCCTTTTGCTCGTCCTCCTCGGTCTTTTTCTGGCGACGCCGACCCTTCCTGAAGCAGGCGAAAGCAAGCACACAACCCATGAAGCCTTCGCAAAACCATCGCTTCCAGGGCGCTTCTCTTTCTCCTCCTTTTCCTTGAATGCCTGCTCTTCAGCTTCGATCTCCGCGTGCATCCTTTCCTCTATTTCTCCCATGCGAGCATCCACCTCAATGGGAGCAATTGCAACCGGCCATGAGGCCATGCCCTTCGCTTGCCAAGACACCGCGATCCGGCGACGTTCCAGCTTGCGCTGCTTCTTCTCCTCTCGCTTCTGCTCCTTCCACTCACCTGGCGTGAGGTTCACGAGGAAGTCCTTGAACCTGCGCGTCCAGCAGAGGCACCATCTCACATTCGCATACCAACAGCAAGAACTGCCCCTGACCTCAAACACTCATCCTTCTGCTCTCGATGCTTTGCTATCTCGCCTTGGGCTTTGCACAAACAACTGCCAGTCCTGGACATAAGCCTGCTTAGCTAGAATTCCGATCCAGGCATTTGCTGCTGTGCGGCTCTGGATGGCGCTCAGCTGGGACTTCAGCTGCTTAATTCGGATGACCTGGATTTTCTAAGCATCCAAAGCACCACAAGCCGAACAAGACGAACATGGAACAGATTTCGCAAACGTGCCGGACGACTCGGTCTTGCTTGTCCTTGGCCATTTTATCGGCCTTCTGCATGGCATCATGGGCCCGATCGTCGTTGTTGCCTCAGACCGGCGTTATGCTCTCCTCGGGGCAGTGAACTGAAGCGTCCTGGGGCACCCACTCAAGAAGGCATCAAACCTTTCTACATCCTTGTCAAGCATCTGCTTTGACTTGTTCAATGCCTGACAGCGCAGCTGCACCGTTGATCTCAGAAATGCATGGCGCATCTTTCCATGTGCCTCCTCTTTGTCTTTGGCTCTGGCATCCAACTTCAGGATTTCTGCCTTTTTGACGTCCAGGCTCATCTGAACCAAAAACATTTCGCGCTTTTTCGCAACGAAGTCGGCAATGTTCTCCTCCAAGAAACGCAGGCAGTCTGTCAAATCAAAGGCAGGCTGTCAAAAAGCCAACCGACTCACCCACTCCTTCTCCCTTCGAGCGTCGCGGCCTTGAGCAGATTGCTGGCCAAGATCCGAAGATGCTAAGATGCTAAAGCTGCCTTTGCTGCCTTCTGGGGCCCTGGCCAGTTGCAAGGCCCTCGGGGCGGGGCTCTGCACGCGCCTTGCGCGCGGCCTCCGCCACTTGCGCATCATCGATGCCGTCCTTAGACTTACTTCAAGCCGGCGTCAACATGGGCAAAGACAGTCTTTGCCAGTGTGAGTCTGCAAAATGTCTGAGCGTCGTCTACTCTGCGCGTCCTGCTGATTCTCGACGCAGACGTCCTCAGTCTGGAGAGTTGGTTTTATGTGATACTGCGTGTGCGCTTGCAGGAGGGTTTCAGCACGTGAAGGTGGTGGAAACTTGTCAAGGGCAAGGCACAGCTTCTCCCAGACGTGCTGATGCTTCACTTTCTCGCGCTCCTCAGCGCGGCGTTGCCTCTCTTTCTCGCGAATGGCAAAGATCTGGTCGTCAGGAGGCAGTTTGAATGGATTGTCCTCCTCCTGGATTCATGTCAGGCTACAGTAAAAGTCTTGCCGCACAAGCTATCGCATGTCACGTTGCTCCTCCATTTTGGCTGCCATTTTCAGCAGCCAATATTCATGCGTGCGCACAGTTTGTTCAATCTAGAAAACTGTTGGTTCTGGACTGATGGTCTTGCGAGCGTCTACAAACTACCTAGACAGTGAGATTTGAGCCACCAGCGTGTGGAAAGGTTGGCGGTTGATGTTTAGCGCTTTGCTGACATGAAGCACTCGGCACCTCATGGGGCTCGCATCTCCTGAGCCTTCCATCCGCTTGTCGGGCCAGGCTGAAGCCAATTTAGCGTCGTGCTAGACTGCAAAGTTGGGTTCGGCCTGCACAAGCTCAAAAGCCAACTCCCGCATGGCAATTAATTACTCAGCAATCCGTCTATAATGCGCGGCATATGGTCCCGAAACGGATCTGAATGAGAACGAAGAAATATGGGAGGGCTGCTGCGCCAAGATTTGTGTTTGTCCGCAAGCGGGCTGTCTGGATAGCTACAACACTGTTGGAGGGTCCACCACTGCTTAATCAAGCAGACTGGCTGGTAGAAGACGTGTCAACGGCTCCATAAAGGCTTTCCGGGCTCTCAGCAAACGATGGCGCGTTTTGCTGCAAATGGCCCTCCTGCGTAGCCAGAATGTGCACTGAGGCTGGCAACAACATGAGGGATTTCAATGATGCCCAACCAGCATGACTAGCGCTTCGGCTCCTTGTAGCATTCCATCATCTCTGGCAGAAAGCGCGTCCAGGCACCTTCAAAGCCCTCCGGCGGTGCCGGTGCATTCAAAGGCGATGCGTAGCCATGAGCCACCAGGGCCTGCCATGCATGCCATACCATTAAATGTGCCGCAGATCTCAACAGAAGCATGTCTGCACATCTCAGAACTGGTCACCAGTCAGCAAGATCGAAGTCCAACAATCGGATTGCGAAGTCGGTCAAAAAAAAAGGCCACAATGCAGCCCAATGAACAAAGCCATCTCATTTTCATCAAACGCCGAATCCATCCGACCGATCTGGACTGATCGCCGCCCTGCCTCCCTGCCCCCGCACCCAGTCCGTACTTGTGCGAACTGTTGGCTTCGTTTCTGCCGCCCACCGTTCAAAATTCTCTCAAGCATGCACTTGTGAGGCCATCTCAAAAAATCCTAAAATATCACACGCGCACAAACGTCAAGTACGAATCTGTTGACCCATTCTGGTCAATGATTCCCAGTAAACCCCGTTCCCCTCATATCATAACAAACCCCCCATACTCCGAGCGGATGACTAAAATCCTGGAAGACCACATTTAAAAAGACAAACCTACTTTTGAAAGGAACCAATTACGGGCGGGCAAATTGACCATGAGAAGTTACGGGGGTTGTTCTCGTTGAATTCTGAATGAAGTTAAACGAGGAAGAGGAGGAGGACGGAACGCGGGAGCACCCGCTGCCTTACAACCACGTCCCCTTACCAGCATCGCATGAGGGCTCCGCAAGCGTCATCGCCCACCTCCGCGGGGGTTCAAGTGGAGGAACTAGCTGGTACAGCCAAGTTTCCCGAGAAGAGAGGAAAAGAGAACGGAACGCGGAAGGAGACAGAGGGTAAAGAAGGAAGCAGGACACGCCTGCACGTGGAGGGAGGGAGCAAGATGGAGAGGGAGAACGAGGGGAAAGCATGTCGACCCAGCCCCCCCTGACATTTAAGCTGTACGTACCAAACCTGTCACAAGAGTATACTTAGGCAGGCGGACGGGCGTCTCGTTTTTCTGCGCGCAATAACTCGAGCACTGACTCCCTCAACATGAAGGTTGTGGGAACATATCCGTACATGAACATGACAACATCAAAACAGGACTGTTCCTAATTCAATCAGGCACAAATTTACCTAATGTTCCATAACCATCCCGTCTGTGGGCTGCTGCTGCCTCTCAGGTGAAACAATGTGACGGTCCAGGAAGAAAATCCCAAGGCTGGCAAGGGGCGTGTGCAACCTTTTATTTAGCTAAGCAGTTCCGTACCTCCTTTTTGAAAGAGCCTTGGGTTCAGAGCTCGCTTTGCAGGTTTCATTTATCTTTGCCTTTGACCTTGTTGTTTGTCTTTCCTTTGCTTAAGCCCTTCTGGCTGCCTTTAGGAAATCCTTTCTGTCGATTCACATTTTGACGTTCCTTGCGCGACATTGTCCTTGTGAGTGTAAGTGTAAACGGAGGAAACGTTTTGTTGGCGTGCTGTGGTCAGGTTATGACTGGGGGTAAAGTAAAGAATGGCTTCATCTTATGGTCCTAAGAAAAAAGCTCCTATCCCTGCCGTCATAAGGAACTCACTAACCCTAATCATGTATATTCGGCTTTTGGGTGACCATTGCGACGCTACTTAGATTCTACATCGTTCCACGGCTTACCATAGTGCTCTTCAGAGTACCACGGGCCTCAACACTATTACCAGAGGTAAACCGAAGCTTGGGGCACAAGTGAAGATTGTTGCCTTGCTGGCATCACACAAGCGCATCTCGGAAGGACTAAAACACACATGCTGAAAAGGAGAGTCTTCATTGGAAGAAAGTTTCTGTGTTTCTCCCCCACGGCGATATGATGTCATGTCGCCATCGCCACAGTTGATGTCCACCTGGTAATGCAAGCATCGGCCGCCATCGACATTGCTATCGACCACAACATCTCCCCACTCAGAGCTGGAGTCTTACACGCACAGCCGCTGTTCAAGTGGAATGAAGAGACCTTCATCACGGGCACACCGCTTTTGCGGATGTTAATCTTATTGGGGCTATCGGCCTGTAGAACGCTTTTGATGGCTTCCCTGTTTTTGAACACGTATCCTATTTCTCCCGATGAAGCTCTTCTCGAAAACACACCTCAAAGATGGCACGGGCAAAGGGTGATTCCTTGTACCTGCGCACTGTTGAGGCGCCTGCTATGCGCTTGACGTAAGATCCCGGCCACGGATTAGCGCGGACAACAAAGACAAGCGATTTGTCTGGACTATAGTGGCAACAAGCCAGCTGTTCTTCTTTAGCGCTTCCTGCTCACGCGCTTGCGACGCCTGCTTCCGAGAACGCGGTCCTTGAGGTTGCACAGGAAACGCAGGGACAGGTTGCCACAAGTTGGATCACGTTTGTGTTCAGCACAAGCGGCACCCCAATCCACAATATGATCAAAACACTCACGAGTTGAGCGCCTCCTGGATCTTCCCCAATGGGCCAGACTGATGATGCGCTTGGTGTATTCAGTACCCTAAGTTTGCTCCCGCATCTAAGCAGGCGCATCGCTTGAACTTGAGGCTGCTTGTGTGACCGGGGCCCGTTGCGCATCATTACCGGCGGCTAGCAAGGCTTCACAGACCAACTTGACAAGTTCAGACTTGGGCATACGCCCATCCGTCCTTTGATAATTTCCAAGCGTTCACGAGCAGCTTCACAGTCTCGCTTGGCACATTCCAGAACAGTACTATCATGGATGTTCCGAAGATCCCCAGATCTATATGCCATGAGGTCGTATGTACGCTTGGGCACCCTCCGCCAAGGCTCTAGTTCCTTTTTCCCTACTTCAAGAATGAATTTTTCTTCATTCAAGCGGTACTTTGCGTGGGAACTCGCGTAAGGCTCCCTGGTAATGGCACTTGCGTGGCTTCGAAGGTGACAGCAACTACGATTGCGCCAGCGCAGGCTAAGGCATGGGCTTCAGGTAAGCCTAAACCCCAAACACCTACACCCCGCTTGTTTTTTCAGCACTGATCGACGACATGAAAAGGAGCGATCAAATTCCTCCTGGAGCTGTTCGTAATGCGCAGGGCCACCGTCATGCTCAGCAAGGGTTTGCCACGCATCCCCAGACAAAAACAGATCCATGTCTTGCTGATTTGTTCTGTTAATTTTCTGCGGACAACGCCTCTTTGTACACAGTTTCGTTCTCGAAAATAGGAGGCTCCATAGGCTCGTCACCCTCTACAACGGCTTCTTCTTCGCCTGTGAGCGCAGCAGGGAGCCCGAATGTTTCGAAGAAATCTAGTTCTGCAGGTGGATCTGACTTTGGCGATTCAGGTTGCGCTTGCCTCTGCTGTTGGACTGCAGCGGTCAGGTCTGCCTGACTCTCCTTTGGAACGTCGTTCAGCACCATAGAAAGCATCTCTTACCATGACAGGGGGAACTTTCTAAGTACTTTCAGAAAGACTGACCATTTTGTGAATGCCCCCAAGACAATCAAAGTCTGCCGCAAGATGTTGTTTGGAAAACACAGATTTCATCAAGTTGCAGAAGTTCCCCAGATCTTTGCGCGCTTGGCGAACAAAGGCACTGCGCGGATGAGACTCAGAGCGGCGAAGCGAAGCGTGCGTCTGATCCACAGAGGGTCGAAGTTCATCGCAAACACCGAATCGTGGTGAATGTGGTCTGCTGCCGGAGCAACATCCTTGACTACCACGCGGTATTTCTTCCGGACTCCTTCATCATCGTACCTCATCGAAAATGTAGGAAAAGAGGTCCATGCTGCAAGGAGTGCACATGCTCCAGGACCATATGAATATTGAAACCGCCCCTAAGAAAGAACCCCTTGTCGAATTTGCTAGCAATCTTGAGCGCCAAATTATCTGGCACTGGCGGCAAACTTCTGGCCAACGCTCATCGTTGCGGGACACGCGAGGTTCTTGGGGAGCAGGACCCTTTTTCAGGACTTGAGGTTCCAAAGTTGGGGCCACACCCCAAAATTCATCGGCTGAAACCTGAAGAGAGGAAATCTGATTGGGGGCTGGAAAGCCCACTCGTCAAAGTTCGCACGCGTTGAAAAAGAACTTGAGTATACACCCGACATAGGATGTGACAACCAGCTGAGGTGACCCTCCACGTCTTACCTGTTTCGAATGTCCTTTGGCAAGCGGCTGACATTGCGAGCACCACGCCATTGAGCGTGCATCTCAATCGGAAGCCATAGTCAAGAAAACGCGACCAATCAAGTTCCCAATCACGACTGCCTGCACCACGCCTCATGACTGCGCCACGCTTGGGAGGTGCAACGCCTCCAGCACACACGAAGTGCACCCTTGCACGACCTTTCTTTGCCCCTACACCACACGAGAGATGAGATAGAACAAGACCGGTGGTGTGACTCAATTCACGTGGAAGATATGACCGAGGGCTGCGCATGCATCCGTGCGCAGGAGAAGCCGTTATATAGCGCAGGCCCTTTAGGGTTCAGGCTTTTTCGATGCCAGACTCCTTTTAGGGTTTAGGATTTGTTACCACCCATCTCCT